ACAGAGCAAGCAGGGGAGGGGCAGAGAGAGGGGGAGACAGAATCCGAAGCAGGCTCCAGGCTCCCAGCCGTCAGCACAGAGCCCGACTTGGGGCTCGAACCCGCGAACCATGAGATCATGACCTGAGCCGAAGTCGGATGCTCAACCGACTGAGCCACCCAGGCGCCCCTCATCCCAATGTTTTAAAACCACCTTGTGTGTCGCTTCTCACTGGGTTACTTGTTTAAAAGAGTGACAGTTGTTATAAATGTTTTAAAATTTTTCTTTTAGCTGCAGAAACTTTTCTTAAAACATTATGAAGCCCAAATATGTAAGACACGAGGTGGCGACGGGTGCATGAAGTCTGGCCGCTCAGCTTGGTTCTTTGCCCCCATGTCCCAACCTCTCCAGCCCCCGGCCTGCTCAGACCCCCCGCTCAGGCCGGAGCAGTGCCTGCCGTGGATGCCCCCCAGGCTGGCTGCAACCAAAGTCCCTTTGAGCCTAGTCATTTGTAGAAAGCGTCTCATTCACTCAAAATATTTCAAAAGAAGAAAAGCTCGTCGTTCTTAGTTACCCATCCAGTTAGTTGCTTTGGAAAAAAGAGGTCAGACGCTGCTCTCCCTGTAGGTTAAATAATGTCGATAGAGGCTTCAAAACAAATTTGTTTGCTAAATGGTGATAAGTAGAAGGAAGAAAAAATCCTGCGGTATCCAAAGACGGCCTTTTTGCTTGTTAAAACGTGAATGTGGTCGAAGTCTGGCCGATACAGACAAGCGCACACGTCCCAAGCCAGCAGGTCCACGAGCTTGCGCGAAGTGAGCGTATGGTCCACAGCCCGATCAAGAACCGTGGCGTTTGGATGCGTTTCCCGAGCCTCGTCCTCAGCTCAGTTCTGTCCTCACGGCGCCGTGACTGTCCTGTATCCACAGCCGTGAGTCCTGCCTTGTGAATTTGGCCTCAGTTACAACCTAAGCGCTTTTCCCGCATCGTTTTGCTGCTGTTACACCTCACTTTCCTGAACTTCAGGAAATTCCTGAGCCGCTGTCGGGCCGCTGTGCCCAGGCTCGCTCCAGCAGCCTTCGATGGGCGTTCGGGTGGGTTTGCTTTCACAGACGACGCTGAGTCTGACACCTTCGCGCGGAACGCTTTTCCCACAGCCCTGCTATTTCCTTGGGGTGTTTTCTCAGAAATGGAACTCCTGGGTCAGAGGGTCTGAATATTTTGAAACGCGGAGTGTCATGCCTGCCCTCGGCTCTCCCCTGAGGGAGGGTAACTGCCCCCAAGGGCCCCGCTGCCTTCCCTGCCCGGTGCCTGAATGGCGGAGCCTTCAGGAACATTCTGAAGATTGTTTATTCCATTTGGGTAACAGGCTAGCAGCCAATGGCAGATTGGAGCCAACTCTCCATGATTTATCGTCACCAGAACAGGAATAGCCTGTTGATATAAAAAGAAACCCAAGGAAAATCCCCAAACCTTGTTTTTGACACTGGTTTCCCTCCTCCCTCCAAGCCCTTCCTGGAGCAGCTGACGTCAGGTGGGGCCGAAGGAGGTGACAGAGGGGAGCGGGGCAGCGGTGGCAGCGGGGTGCCGGCCGCGTGGTCACGGGGCCCCTCAGGAAGGGGCCTGATGTATCTTTGGAGACTCTGGCCCGCGAGTGGCTTTCTCGGCCCCTGCGCCCTGGCCGTGGGCCCGGCGCAGAGCAGCCTGAGGGGAGCCGTGATCGGAGATGCTTATCTCCTTCCTGCTGAAGATCTGCTTTCCTGTCAGATGAGTCACTTGTGCCCGACAGTGCCCACGGCGGGGTCTGTGCGGACTCACCAGCGTGGCTGGAGTGGCCCGGAGGAGCAGGGCTGCGGACGGAGGGGCAGGCCTGCCCCTGCTGAACGGAGGCTGCCAGCCGTCGGCCCCGCTGGCCGGAGCTTGACCCACAGGGCCATTTTCCTTCCTCTCTCTTCCAAGCGAATGGGCCTGGGACCCATGGTGCACCTGTGCGCAGCCTGTGGCACAGGACCGATGACGTGCTTAGTGCAGTGAAGGGACACGCCTGGCCACGCGTGCCTCAGTTTCCCCGTTTGTAAGTGGGACCAACAGTACACACGTGTCCCTTGGTGTGTTTTTGAAACCCCCAGCTCTTCAGAGCGCCGTGCCGTGTAAGCCCCTGTGATGGGGTAGGCGGCTCTCGCTCCTCTGAGCGGAAGGCCGGCGCCAGGCCCCCGGGGGAGCCAGCGGCCGGCGTTTCTCACTCGGGTCCGTCCCCGGGGCACTAACGGCCGTGTGCTTTGTCTTTGTCTGTCTCCGTGAAGGTTCAGGAAGACGTGGAAGCTGCAGGCCCTGAAGGAAGGCAAGGCCAGCACACAGCCGCCGTATGCTCTGGGGCAGCTGGTCCCCGACAGGCCCCAGCCCAGGCCGGGGCTCGTCCCCCTCCTCTCTCCTCCCGTGAACCCCGGCAGCCTCGGGTCTGACAACACGTCGGGGCACGGCCGG